TCCACAGATAGTGTACAAGAAGTTTTTTCCTGTGGTTTGTGCAGGGAAAAGACTTTAAGAACCAAATGAGCTAAGCAGTAATTTATTTATTTACTATTCACTTAATATTTTGATATATACATAAATTTAATTAATCTGGCATTACTGAATTTCAGTTAATTGTAGCTCTGCTTGGAGCAGAAACTAAGTTGTCTGTACTAGCTTTGACCATGCTGAATGTTCATGTGGGCTCTACCGCTTCCTGGATGGATGCTCTTGGGAAAGTTCTTTGACCTCTTTTAGCCTCATTTACTTTATCTGTAAAAACGGAGGGGATTAGGCTACTAACCAAAAGATCAGCAGTTCAAATCCACCAGCTGCTCCTTGGAAACTGTATAGGACACTTCTACTCTGTCCTGTAGGGTTGCTATGAGTCAGAATTGACTCGCGGCAATGAGTTTCTTTTTTTTTTTTGGTTTTATATTTACTTTGGACGGTTACTGAGATTTAGAAATATATAAATATATACACGCACATATATACGTATCTATATATATCTTAGCATAATGCCTATTTATGTGTTACTCAAGTATAATGGTAAATATTATTTCTGTTCATTCATCTTTTCATCGATTTTTTATTGAATGCCTGCTACGTGCCCATCACTGTGCAAACTCTGGCAGTACACTGATGAGCAGACTTACATACTCTCTGTGTTTGTGGAACTTACAGTCTAGGAAGGAAGGCAAGTAATCAACCAGCAATTTACATAGGTATACTAATAATTTATATTGAATCACAGGTCACAAAATGACAGTGATATAGAGCAAAGGGATATGGAGAGAAGATTTCGAGAAAAAGAACTTGACACACAAAGATATCACTTGGCTGATGACAGAAAGCATAGAGCTCACTCTGAATTTGATAAGTGTCTGAGAAGGAATGAAGACGAGCTGAAATGGGGGAAAGGATTCCCCCAACACAGAGGGAAGAAAGGGAACCAGAACTGCAGCTTCACTGCGGTGGCAATAGAGAGAGAGACTGGGTAAAGAGGACAAGTGTGGTGCTGACATGACATCCACAAAGGAGCGCATGAGAAATAAGGTCCTTTTACTCATTTAGGTTAACCTTTCCTTCAGTAAACCGTAATTTGAGGTCAAAGGTCTTTCTTCTGCAGTCTTACAACTGCTTTTCCCAAAAGAGTAATTCTTTTATTGAACAAAAAAAGAAGAAAACATCTACAAAGGTATCTTTGGGGAAAATACCCTGATGATGTGAGGTTTTGTTCCCTACTTGATCTTACTTAGAGCATTATCTTAGGGAGCATAACATTACAGATATGCTTCACAGCTAGGGTTTCCCAGATGACTTTCACACTGGCTAAAACAATATACGATAGTAACACTCAAACCAGACCTCTTCAGTCATCTTAAGTCTCCTTATCTCCTCTCCCTGTCTTCTCCATCACATCTTGCTCTCACTTTGCAAGGTAAATAATTCTCATAAAATGGAAGCCATTCCCAGCCAGTCAACAGCTTTTCTTTCAGGAGTTTGTACTTAATTTTTATTCAGATCACATTTCCCCAGAGAAACATTATAAATGGTATTTAAGCTAACAAACCAGTCCCCTTTTATCTCCCTTTCTAGAGCCAGATGCTCCACCAGGTGTTTCATTTGTCCCACCCAGCCAGGCCTCCAGGTGGAGGTGCCTGTCAACTAGTTCCAGAGCTAAGGGACCTGAGGGTGAGAGAAGTCCCTAGGGTCCCTCCCCAAGGCTCCAGTTCACAGCCACCTGCTTCCTGGCCCCCCTCTCTGCCCCTGGCCATCATTACTGTTCTCCATCTCTGTAGTCACTTCAGGAATCTTATATAAATGGAATAATGTGGACTTTCGAATTGGCTTTTTTCACTCAGCCTAATTCCCTTGAGATCCATCTAGGTTCTTACATGTATCAATGTTGATTTTTCAGATGTTTCCAGTAAAGGCAAATCTGAAATCCAGAGGACATTCTTATCTTCACCCTTGACTAATCACATCCATATTAAAGGAAAGATTTCTGAAGTTACCTTCACTCAGAGGACAAAGTGCAGCCGCATGTCTTTTAGGGTGGGGAGTTTGCTCACATGAGTGCTTGTTTTTCAACTGCCCTTTTAGTATAAGTAGTTAATTTTAGCAGTAGTGAATGGCTTGTGTCTTTGCACAACTTCAAGTGTGAAAACTCAAAGTGACTCGTTTCTCTCAAATCTAAGAATGCTGTCGTGGTAAGTAGAGAGCTTTGTATGTAACAGCTCTCATGAGGTCTGAACGGTAAGTGCAGGATAGATTGGAGTGTACTGAGTAGCGATTATTATAATGTACTTCTCGGGTTAGATTTTGAACTCCATCTGTACACAGTAGTGAAACGCAGAACGATGCGTGTTGGCCCCGGGCGAAAGAGCGGCTGCTGGAGGGTCCTTCTTGCAGCATGTGAAATCTGCTTCTCTGCCTTAAACCGGGGGACTCAGATCCACCAAGGACTGCTCAGCCCTTTCCTTCTCTTCTCATTGGCTGGGCTTATATTTAAGAAACAGAACATTAAGTTAAGCTCCTTGTTTCCTTGCCCCTACCCCCAGAAAAAGCACTCCTGGCCACACCTGGTGACCTGCTGGGGGCCTCCACACCCAGTACAGAAGTAGATAAAGGTGAGCTGGGGTGAATCCCAGAGAAGGACAGCAGGTGGGACCTGCTCGCCTGAACTGCTTGTATCAGGGCAGCAGCCTACATTCAGGCTACAAATGGTGGACGTCAAAAGGCTGTTGCTCCCACTTCTCTGCCTACCAGCCGGCAGGGAAAGAAAAGTACATTTAAGGAGGACACTTCCTTATTGGAGCCCTGGTGGCACAGTGGTTAAGAGCTATGGCTGCTATCCAAAAGGCCGGCAGTTCGAGTCCACCAGCAGCTCCTTAAAACCCTAGGGGGCAGTTCTGTTCTGTCCTATAGGGTTGCTATGAGTCAGCATTGACTCAGTGGAAATGGGTTTGGTTTGGTATTGGGCTATAAACCTCCACTGAACTGATGCTTGAGAGGAGAGGAGGAATTTGTCTTCCTCTCTTACCGCTCTTAGTCAGTGCTGGTGCCCACAGTAAAGCTGGCTGGCTTCTCCAAGAGAAGCATTTGTCCTTATTGTTATTATTATTGATCTTAGTGTTCAGAACGACTCTGGGCTTCCTTGGCTGTTAACTGTCCTTTTGCCCTAAAGCACTTGCTTCTCACTGTCAGAAACCCTGGTGGCATAGAGGTTGAGAGTTTGGCTGCTACTGAGTTGCTGGGCTGAGGGCTGTGGGGACCATGGTCTAAGGGAACATCTACCTCAATTGGTATAACATAGTTTATAAAGAAAATGTTCTACAGTCTACTTTGATGAGTAGCATCTGGGGTCTTAAAAGCCTGTGAGCAGCCATCTAAAATACTCCACTGGTCTCACCCCTTTGGGAGCAAGGGAGAATGAAGAAAACTAAAGATACAAGGGAAAGATTAGTCCAAAGGACTAATGGACCACAACTACCATGGCCTCCACCAGACTGAGTCTAGTACAACTAGATGGTGCACGGCTGCCACCACTGACTGCTCTGACCGGGATCACAACAGAGGGTACCAGACAGGGCTGGAGAAAAATGCAGAACAAAATTCTAACTCACAAAAAAAGACCAGACTTACTGGCCTGACAGAGACTGGAGAAACCCCAAGAATATAGCCCCCGAACACCCTTTTAGCTCAGTAATGAAGTCACTCGTGAGGTCCACCCTGCAGCCAAAGATTAGACAGTTCCATTAAACAAAACGAGACTAAAAGGACACACCATCCCAGGGGCAAGGACTAGAAGGCAGGAGGGGACAGGAAAGCTGGTAATAGGGAACCCGAATTCAAGAAGGGAGAGTGTTGACAAATCGTGGTGTTGTTAACCAATGTCATAAAACAATGTGTGTGCTGTTTAATGAGAAAACTAGTTTGTTCTGTAAACCTTCATCTAAAGTACAATAAAAAAAATTTTTTTAAAAGAATTCAGCTGCTAACCAAAAGGTTGGCAGTTTGAATCCACCAGGTGCTCCTTGGAAACCCTATCGGGCAGTTCTACTCTGTCCTATAGGGTCACTATGAGTTGGAAGCGACTTGACAGCAACAGGTTTGGTTTTGGTTTTGGTTTTGTTTTTTTGGTACTTCAGTTGGAGCCTTGGTGGTGCAGTGGTTAAGAGCTCGACTGCTAACCAAAAGGTCGGCAGTTTAAATCCACCAGCTGCTCCTTGGAAACCCTGTGGAGCACTTCCAGTCTGTCTTAGAGGGCCGCTATGAGTTGGAATTGACTTGACGGCAACACGTTTGCTTTGGTTGGTAGGTACTTCAGTCATCATTTTTGTTCCCCACTTCTAAGAGTTTAATAAGATAATAAGGTTAGTATTTTCTGTAAAGGGAACAGTTCACAATTCCACACTGTTGGATGGTAGACAGGAATAGTCCGCATGGAAATTGTTTATTACTAATGTTAATGACTTTTAGTTCATAGATCTAAAGAGCCGTCTCTCAGCGAGCCCATGCCTAGTTCTTCTGCAGACCTCGTCACGTTCACCGTGTGTAGTGAACTTGACATTGTGAGATGTACATGATAATTTGAGTTTTAATCTCTCATACTGGGAGGGAATATTCTAACTAGTTATCAAGTGCCATGGTTGTAATATTTCTCTGGAGTAGTCTTGGCATAAGCAATAACATTTTCCCAGATATCAACTTTTACTTTCTTTCAAATTATTTTACGTATTAACTGCCCTCCTTTTCATGGATTTTTTCCCCCTAGAAATTGCTGATTTCTGAGATAGTCCTGGGAAAAGGGCTGATTTTTAGCTGCAGAATTGGTTTTCAATACATAATTAGTATCAACTAGAAACACAAGTGATGTGATACCAACCCCACAAATTGACCCCTCTTGAATTGCCTGGTTAGGGGATTATTTCCCCTGGAAGACTAACCCTGCCCTTCTCTCCCGGCAGGACCGCCCAGCCCTGCAGTTATACCAGCCAGGCGCTCGCACCCAAGCCCGTTTGGGCTCTGCGAGTAACACCTGTGAGTGTGGTGGGACGCGCACCGAGGAGAGCGGTGATGGGCGGAAGTATGAGGCAGACGCCTCACCTGGGGCTGCATCTAAGAAGAGCAAAGAGGCGGAGTAAACCCATGTGTAAGCCAAGTTTGTGAGGGGTGTTAACTTCCCACTCAGTTTTCCAGAGATTAGAAGGGGCGTTCCTGACATATGTCAGTCACCCTAGGATATAACCTACGGTGCAAGGTAAATTTATCCCTGACAAGGAAACTAAAAGCTAGAAATACAGAAAGGTGGCTTACAAACATCTAGAAACCATTCTTAAGAAAGAAGTGTTTTTTCTTTAATTGGGAAAAATTGTTGTAGGTTTTCCCATTTCCAGAATAAACTCCTATTAATTGTTTAGCCAAAACAGAGAAAATGGTCTCCTTTGGAAAGTATGACCAAAACAGGGAAGAAAATTAGTATTGTGTCGGTGTGAATTTGGAAGCACTTTATATATTGTAGGAATAATTTGCACTTTATGTTTTGTACATTTTTAAGTATATACTTTATATCTCATTGTGCTGCTTCTGGTTAGTTTTCTGTGAGCCATAATGTCAGCGAAGTGAGCAGTGCTCATTTCAGTTGGTTCTGTGGAATCAGCCACTTCTGCGCCTTCTGTTATAAGCATCCCCAAGGTTATTTTTTAGAACAATCCCTCTAATACAGTCCATAACACTATGTAACATTCAACAACTTTAAATTATTGTTGTTCTAACAGTTTGGCCATTGACATGAAAAATTGTTTCACGGTCTTTTGATGTGTTCATGGTTATACCAATTATGCTTTTAGGATTTGCCTAAGATAACATAAATGTCATTATTTTGGGGCAGGGATAACATAGGTACAGCATCGAGAAGCTCTCTTTTCATAGTCTAAGGCAGCTTTATTTTTAAACAACTTAATGTATCTTTCTGACACTATGCATTCTACAGTGTTTTTTCTTTTGAGTGAAATTTTTAAATGTTATTGTATTTTTGGCACTGTGCTTTGAACATTTTATTAAATAAAAATTTTTGTTGCTATGGATTTTAAGTCCAGTTATGGTAGTTTTCCTACATAGAATTTTACATAGTAAAAGATTGCTTTTTAAAATATGGCTTTAATTCTCTGAATATTTTGCTGATTATATCCATTCCTTGTTATTGATAAATTATAAAACATTTGTATTTATCAAAAAACTAAGTTAGTTATTTATCATTTTTTTAAAAAATCTACCATTGTCAGACATACAGTCAATTCCATAGCCCCAGAGAGGTACAGAGCTGTGCTCTTGAATTTGGAGGAGAGGAGGAGGGAAGAACTTGCCGTGGATTGAGCAAGGTTCATGTACCCAGCTGAGCCAACCCTGGCTTCAAAGGATAACTCAGCCAGCCCTCTTCTGTAAAGGGCCAGTAGCAAATAATGTAGACTTTTCTGACCATACGATCTCTGTCGCAATTACTAAACTCTGCCGTTGGCCACATAAAGCAGCTATAGACAATACATGAAGGAATGGGCGTAGCCGTGTTCTACTAAAGCTTTATTTACAAAAACAGGCAGTGGTCCATATTTGGCCCTCGGGCTGTAGTTTACCGACCCCTGCTTAGAGTATACAGTGTATCTCCTGAATAGTGAGCTTGCTGTGGACCTGCCTCACGGCACAGTGTGGCACTGACCTGGAGACTTCCAGACCAAGAGTCAGGGAAGTAGTAAATACCCACTTCTAAGATGTGCCATCTTTTGGTTCTGTTAGTTTGTTGGCTGGTTTGTATTTGGTACCGCATGTTCCCTGGAGTCCTGTTGTATTTATTTTCAAAAATGTTGGTTTAAAACTGTGGTTCTCAAACCTTTTGGTCTCAGGATCCCTTTACATCCTTAAAAATTATTGAGAACCCACAAAGCTCAAAAATTATTGAGCTTTTGCTTATATATGAGGTTATACTTTTTGATATTTACTGTATTCAAAACAGAAGCAGAAATGTTTAAAACAAGAATACCAAAATAAATGTTCCATTTAGCGATCAGGGTGATGATGTCATCACACATGTAGCCTCCGGAAAACACCACTGTGCACTCGAGAGAAAGAATGAAAAATGTAAAATAATGTTTTAGTGTTCATATAAATGTAGTTTTGACATCACAGCTTACCTTAAAAGGATGCTGAGACCTCTCCCCAGGTATTCCCAGAAAACACAGTAAGAACCACTGGCTTAAAACAATAATTTTAAAAAAAACCAGTTGCCAGGGAGTTGATTCTAGCTCAAGGCAACCCCGTGTGTGTCAGAGCAAAACTGTGCTCCATAGGGTTTTTAATGGCTTATTTTTTGGAAGTAGGTCACCAGGCCTCTCTTCTGAGGCACCTCGGAGTGGACTTGAACCTCCAGCCTTTCTGTTAGCAGGCAAGCCTGTTAACCATTTGCCCCACCCAGGGACTCCAAAACAATAACACATTTTAATAATGATTTACTTTGTTATAAAATAGGAGCCCTGCTGGCGCAGTGGTTAAAGTGTTTGACTGTTAATCGAAAGGTTGGTGGTTTGAAACCATGAGCGGCTCTACAGGAGAAGGAGGTAGTGGTCTGCTCCGGTAAAGATTTATAGCCTTGGAAACCCTATAGGGTTGCTATGAGTCGGAATCGACTCAACAGCAGTGGTATAGCAAATATACTTTCATATACATTTCTCAGTTTAGACTTAGCCACGCTTTGAAGATTAGCTGAGTAGGACACACGTTATTCCCTCCTTTTTATAAATGAGGAAACAGGTTCAGAGATGTCTAGCAACTTGTGATTGGTTAGATCTAAAGCTGTTCACATACGTGTAAAGTTTTTATTACCAACTACAAAAAGAAAAAAACCTAAAACTTTTGAGTTTCTCCTATGCCTAAGAAATGGTAAAACTGTTAAGGAAAGAATTGTAATCCCATGGAAATTATAATAGATCATTTTGGGGCAGGACTGAAGTTCTCAGTGGGACCAGGAGGCTGGTTGGGGGTTGATCTCTTTTTTTTAGATTTTTAGTAATGCCTTTTCTAAAAGTTTCCTTTAACATTTTCTGTTGTTCCCATTTTGGATTCTAATCTTTGGCTTTATTCAGCTACTCAGTCGTTTTAATAATTATGTTGTAAACATGAGCACCACAAGGGAGAGGAGTTAACCACTATAGTGTTAGCTGCTCAGAACCTTGCTAGTAAATGATAAACACCAACCGATGGAAATAACTTTTTCAAATCTGCCATGAAATAGGTACTTTGAGAAATCTCGTTTACTGTCTTTGGAAAAGAAAAGTGTGTACTTGCTTAATAACAGGACTGGCTGAGCGGTCTCCTCCCGCCGCACGGGTCCCACGGCAGTGAAACACTTGTGGAAGATGAAGTACCTCAAGATAATAGGTTCCATTTTTAAATTTTTAGCAAATGCTTCCCAGGAAGTGTTTGTTGCTACCGTTCTTTATAGCAACAAGGACATACACAGCATCTCCGGAAGGAGAATGTCTTCCCCATAGAATGGGGCACATGCGGTCATTCTCTATGTGGTCCCTGGGTGGCGCTAACGGCTCAGCACTCCACTACTAGCGGAAAGGTCGGTGGTTCTCTAGCGGCCCCTCCAGTTACCATTAACTAAGGTGATGGAAGTAAAGTTGTTGCTTTACCCTAGCTCACTGACTGTTTAATAGCCACATTCCCTCTGAAGTGAATGAATTCTGCACATCTAGAGGACCTAAGATGTAGAGGATCGTTAATTTCTTCACATCACACTGTGAGAAAGGATTTTTTTTGTTTTCATCTCCATCATTAAATTCTCATTTTGTTGCTCCTTCTTAACTCTGGTGTAAAAAGATGGTGTTTACCTCATTCTCTAGGATATAATCATCTATACATTTAAACAAATTTCTTTCTATTCTACTTTTTCTATCTTTAAAATTAAGGTTATGTCTTTAAAACAGATTAAAATGAAGAATTGAGTAATTATTTAATTTATTTTATCTGTGTTACTAGTCAGATTAATAGCCAAAAAAAAGGGAAAAGAAAAAAATTTTAATTTCAGAACAGTATTCCAGAGTTAAGAGGGTTTTTAAAAAAATGAAACACATAAATCATCCTCCTTAAGTCCATCATATGATTGCTTCACCCACTCTGAGCTATAAGGCAAGATTTAATGGTAATAATTATTTGAAAATTCAGTTAAAATCTTTTTTTTTCACTTTGCTGCTCCAGTTAAGTTTAGAAAAATGCAGTCTGTCTTCTCTGTGAGTGCTTCTGATGGGCTGCATCTTGGTGGAAAGCTAGAAGCTTCTTGTAAATTGTTATCCCTATTTTCTTTGCATCAAAAACATGTTTATCTTGTAAAGTTCTAAATTTCTCCCAGAATTCTTCGTTGTTACACATCTAAAAGGAAAATAATTACATAAGTGACCTTGTTATCACAAAAGGGATAAACCAAAGATGCCTTGGTCGATTTAAATACAAGCAGTCCACCCCAAAGAAGGAATGACATTTTTCATTTTTAGTAGAATAATTTTCAGTTTTTTCATGGTAGAAAAATTAGTGAGCCAAGTCGACAGCACTATACCCGCAGAGAATTCTCCGTTACACATCTCGGGAAGTAGTTGTTTCTTACGTAACTGTGATGATATTTTTCTAACCAAAAAATGGAACAAGTGATTGACGGAGAATTCTTGTGCCACTTTGGGGTTTGAGGGCCAAGGTAGGACATGCTGTTTGGACACCAAACTTCTGGTGTTTCTAGGATATCTTAATGGATCACAGAAACCATACTAGAGCATATTTGAAGTCAGACCTCTACCAGAAAACCTGAGGAGTAAGCGTGAACAAGTGTTAATATTTACAGGTGGAAACTTGTAGCAATTATTCCTTCTCTCTTCTACGTCTTCAACGTCCTCCTCCCTGTTGAATTGTTTCTCTCAGCATTCAAACATGATTTGGTAGCTCCTCTCAGGCAAAATTACCACAACTATGAAAACATAAAATGGGAATATCCTTGAAACCAGCATTTGGACTCCTGATACTACATCCTACAGCTACCAGTGCAGTGCTGTTGAGTTGACCCCAACCCTTGGTGACTCCATGTGTGTCAGAGTAGAACTGTGCTCCATAGGGTTTTCAATGGTTAATTTTTGGAAGTAAATTTCCAGGCCTGTCTTCCAAGGCAACTCTGGGTAGACTTGAACCTCCAGCCTTTTGGTTAGCAGCTGAGCACATTAACCATTTGCACTGCTGTGGTGAAATGAGTTTTTTATGTGGGCTTTTGCCCTGGTTCTTTGGAAAAACAGCTTGAGAGATTTTTCTCTTAAACCCTGAGGAGTTACCTTTGCCCTAGTTTTCTACCCTAGAGGGTTTGTTATTTTTGTCCGGGTTAATTAACATTTCCTGGGTAAGCTGTAAGCAACTTAGTTTTGATACTTTTTGTCTGGTCTTGGCTGCAGCTTGCCCTGTGATTGGTATGCACCTTGCAGGGATTGGTCAATAGACTATGACAATGAAGTGAGTTGTAGACTGCTATGCAAATGAAGTGTCTGTGGTTTACCAAGAGGGGATTGATCAGTTCATGGCCCTGGTGGGAGTGCCATGCCTTGAAATTGACAAGGAGTTTGTGTATTTAAGCAGCCAGCCTACAAAAGTTTTTCAGACAGAAATAAGCAGGAAGAGAAGCAACAGGAAGAAGCAGAAGGAAGAAAGAAGAGAAAAAAGGAGAGAGAGAAGAGGCAAAGAACCTCCTGAAAGAGTTGTAACACAGGTCAAGGGCTATAACACTGAAGACAGCGAGAGGCCCAGAAGGGGCCCAGCAGCAGAGCCAGAGGCTACAGATCCAGAAGGGGCCCAGCAGCAGAGCTGGCAGTGACAGCAGGGCCAAGAGGAGCCTATTCTCAGGGGGCTGAGAGGAACCTGTCATCGTCGGGGCCAAGAGGAAGCCTGTCTTGAGACAGACAGAGAGAGACTTGCACAGCCGAGAAAGAGGTCCTGCACTGAAGGAGGAAGACTGCCTGCATGCTTCCTGATGCTGATCCTGAGTTGTACCCTGTTACTTCCTTAATACAGCCAGAATGCTCCTTAGAAGCAAGGATGGGGAGACTACGTCTTACAGACTTTTGACATGTTCTCAGGAGGGATCAGTCCCTGAAGAAAGACATCATGCTTGGTAAAGTAGAGGGTCAGCAAAAAAGAGGAAGGCCCTCAGCGAGATGGATTGACACAGTGACTGCAACAGTGGGCTCAAGCATAACAACAATTGTGAGCATGGTGCAGGACTGGGCAGTGTTTCGTTCTGTAGTACATAGGGTCCCTATGAGTCAGAACTAACTCAGTAGCGCCTAACAACAACAACAACTTCCTTAATAAGCCACTTAACTGTAAGAATGGTCTATGAGTCGTGTGTGGCCCCTGAAATGGATTATCAAACCCAGAAGAGGATTAGAGAGTGCTGTGGGAGGAATGGCTGGTGTCAGAACTGGTAAAAAGGGTTGGAGAGTAGAGGTATGTCTAATCTCTACCTCATAGGGAT